CGCTCGAAGCGTGTTCGCGCCCAGACACAGGCTGCAAGTACAGCGCCGGGTTTTCCACGGCTCCTCCTCGCTGCTCTGCCCTCGGATCCGCACCGCCCGTACCTGCCCTTTAAACGCGGTCAAAAGACCCAGCAGCTGCGCTACCCCACGGCTTACTGACCGACGCCCTTCTTGCGTCCGGTGGGCCCCGCTCCGCTCCCCCTTGCTCTCCAGGCCTAGCCCCGTCGGAAAGGCCAAGTCTTGCCGGGACCCAGCCGAGGTGTGTTGGGAGCCCGGGCGAGCAAACAGCCCAAGGGAGCTCCGCAACCCCACGCGGATGCGGAACACAAGCCGTTCTCCGGGCACACGTTCGCTTGCTAACACAGCACGCTGGTGCCCGGGGCGCGGCTCCCGGGGCGCGTATCCCGCGCAGGCACAGCTGGGGCCCGGGGCATGGACTTGCTGTGCTCCCCCTAGCACCCTGCTTCGGCAGCAAGTAGCCTGCCTCTGACCGTCCCGCCGGGCAGCAGCACACAGAGCGCCCCCTTCGTTTCCTTCTCGAGGTGTCCCTACAAACCCGGGGCACCGAAACACTGGGACCCCCCTCCCCTCCGGCTCAGGCTCCAGCATCCCGGGGCGCCAGGCGCTTGCCTGGGAGACTCGCTCGCTAGGCAGCAGCCGGGGAAGGTCACTCCCCCAGGGGATCCCGCTCACCCGGCGGCGGATCTGGGCCACCCCCCAAGCTGGGCTGCAGAGCCGCGCCCAGCCCGGACACAGTACCTGGTGCAAGCGGGCCCGCGGAGTCCGCTCGGCGGGGCCTGATCCAGCCGGGTCCCTACTCCCATTCCCACTCCCGGATCATGTTTGCTCCACGCGCCGCCAGGCCCCGAGCTCTGACCGCACCGACCGCAGCAGCCCGGGCTCTTTATTCCCCGAGCAGGCACGGCCGGGCCCCGGAACATGAATCGCGAAGCCTTCTCATGTTTCCTAGCTGCGGAGCTGAGCCTGCGAACATCCTCCCATTGCGCTATCCACCGTTCGGGGCCCCGCAGAGGGGAGGCTACCGGGCTCTCCGGCCATTCTCCGCTGCAGCAGGCGCGGAAGCCTCTTGCCCTCTCTTTCCTTCTCGTGTTGGCCCTACAACCCCCAGGAAACCCTCCGTCTCCCCGTTGTTTGCACTGGAGCAAAGCCCTGCGGCTGTGAACGCCAAGCTCCTAGATTTGCCAGCCCGTCCGGGGACAGGGTGTCTGTGGTAGGAGAGGGTCGGGCAGAGAACTGGGACTTGCTGCCACCCCAATACCTTCAGTACACGAGGTAGCCGGGTAAGATGTACCTGACTGTTTGCTACGCAGGCAAAATGGGTACTCCTTCGGAGCAGAGGTGGGAAACCTACTTACACGTGCCCGGGGCAGAGCTGGGCTGGCTAACCTGTAAATTTTAAACAGACAAAGCGAGCGATAGCCAAGGAGACATCAGCTTTCTGCCTCGGCTTCTGTCCGCAAAAGAAATGTTTTGCAGCTCCAGCTGGCTAACAGCTGCTTGAATGAGTGACATCACTGTCTGTCACTATGATGTCATAATGTAACGCACCGGTAAGGCACTCACGGCGGAACAAGTAATACACTTGAATGAAAACAACAGCAAAATAAGGATGGAAACCTATTTTTTGAATTCATTAGATTATCATATAGTCTAGGATAAATAGTGAGGCAAGTGCGGTGGCATTTCGCGAAGCAGAAAGGTGTAAGATATTCGGAGCCGGAAAATAAAACAAACTTGCCAGTTTTTTAAAAAGTGGTTAAATGCCGGGTTTTAAGGGCAGCTTTCAATGGACAAACTACACTGAGGTTAAACTAGGAGTTTTCTGGCGTCATTTTATTTTTGTTATCCTACATTTTTCCATCTTACCTTCTCTATTTTCGCATCAACCGTAATGCAGAAGGACGCTGGCTGGTTTATGATTGAGACATACTTTTGAAAACGGAGTCTGTAAATTATAGTCAATCGTACCTTTTAATCAGAGCAAACTGCTCCAGACTGACTGAAACACATGCAGCTTACTCACTACCCCGGCTGAACTGTTTATGACGTGAAAGTATTATTCTAATTGTATTACAGTTAAACAAAACTCCACAGCGAAATACTCGAGCGAGGAGAGAGAGAGACCTTCTCAAGGCTACACCTTAGAACAACAACTAGAGAGAGCAAAATGAAAAGACAATTCAGAAAGTGTACATTTTCAAACACATATTTTCCAGTTACTGCTTCATTTCCCCTTTCCAACACCGCTTGAACTGTAAAAATAATCCCGTAGAATAACACGTGGAATTATTTACACTTCACGATACATAATTAGGTTGTAATGCCAGCGTGGTATTTTGTTACTAAACATAACTAGCAGAAAGCTTCCGAGAGGTTTGCTGATGTCAGCTGGGACCCCGAGGCAGACCTGCAGTCCAGAAACGGCAGAGACTGAGAGCGGATCGCCCAAATAGAATTATGCTGGCGTCTGAAAGTTTTAATTTAAACATGGTAACGAATATTTCAACTCCCATGTGTTAGGAGGGAAGGCTACAGGCTTCACAAGGATGTTAAAGATCGCGACTAGATAAGTTTTGATAATACAAAGAATGATGATGCCCAGTAATTCGATTTATTAATCTGATAATATTTTTATGGATTCTTTCATATTGTTGTCAATGCTAAAACGTTAACAATCTCTACTGGTTTTACGCCCAAGGAGTAAACCATTTCAGATCCCCTTACGTGAAGGGGTTTAACCAAAGAATTCTAGAATTCATCTATCAGCTGTTTTGTAGTCACTTTAATGTGATTATAGCAATTAACAAGTATATATTCATAAACAAAAGTGTGCCTGCATATTGCATAATACTAATAATAATTAATAATAAAATGATATGGACTTTAGGGAATCTGTCTTTGGTTTACTTTCAGAGAGGTAGCTTGTTTGCTCAATTTTTAAAAATGTAAATATGTTGTTGATCTTGTTAGTGTATCGTCTTGTATTTTCATGACCTTACTAGAGATACGGGGTGTACCTTAACAACTTATGCTTGTTCCCTGGAATATAGATTTATTATTTGATTGATAGCTCATGATTATTCCCTTGAACATGATTTAGAATTAATTGGCACATATAAAGGATGAAAGCTCACCAAGAAGCAGGAGCAGACTTTGTAACTGTCATCTTTTCATTCTTTTTCTACAGATCTTGTATTTTTATAGTAGCTATATGAAAAACCCACAAAGCCAGTTTTCTAATGTAGCTTTTATCTACAAACGTTACTACGGAGTTTTGACATTTTATTTGTAAATTAAGTCTATGCACATTTGGTCCACTGTTAGCTGTAAAGAGAGATTTGGATAATACTGGTACCTAACTGATTCTGATGAAGCTCCATGGTGATAGTGAAGTTGTGATAGATTCTCAAAACTTCCTGTTCTGTTTTATCAGGGAGGTAATGACATCAAAGTGAAGAGAACCCCTACAAGTGACATTTTAATTATACTTGTAACAAAGTTCTAAACATTTTTAAAAAGTGATAGTAAAACCAAGCAAAATGTTTACTTTTAAGTTAAAGGCTCACTTCCTTGTGTTTTGTAAAGATGCTGTTTTACTAAAGGCTAAATTCTTTCTAGTGGAATCATTTTTTCCATTAGTGCTTTTAAAAGAAATTCCTGTCATATAGACCACATCCCCAGTCATAAGCAAGTCTTCCAGAAACACACAGTTGACAGATACAGGAGACAGAGAGTTGCTCTCCCAACTGGTCACATTCATTGATAGGACAGCAGGTTAACTGAGAACACCTTGAATCACTGTTTGCAATAAAATATTTTTTTTAAATCAACATTTGGAAAGTGGAACTGGAAAAAAAGAAAACAAGCCCTGTAGAGAAAAATCTGCCAAACAGTGTGAAGGAACTGCAGGAGCATTTGGCACCAAAATGCCTTTAAAGTAGTGAGACCTACCAAATCATCACATGTACATTTTACATACACTCTCCCCCTCCATATTTTATTTCTTAGATCACATTTGAAAAGCTTTAATGAAAACAAGATTTCTATTTTCAGAGCTTGTTTAACATTTAGAATGTGATACAAAATGTAGGCTTTATGTTTTTAATTAAGGTTACATACCCAAAACTTATGGAACAGTAAGTCCAGAGCTGTTAGCTGGGCAGCAAGTTCACAGCTCAGTTCATTCACATTTCAGAATGTCCTTAGAGGGAAGGCAACAGTGGTCTGTCTGAGAAAGGACAAAAGGTTATACAGAAAACACCAGCATTGAAATATTAACTGTATCGAAGGGCAGAAATTCATAACAGGGTGGAATGACCGTGTGTTTTAGGCTAGAGTTTTCAACTCAAAATGGGCATCTGTCATCTGGAATTCCCACTGAGAAGTTGATTTTATATTTAATTTCCATTCATGTCTCCAGAATGACTCTTGATGACTAGAGTTCTTAGCAGGAATCCAGAGAAGTGTTGGAGAGCATTTTTCAAGCATTATTCAGAATGGGCTTCATAGGGCCTGAAAGAGGCACCATGGGCCTAATGATATTTACCACTGGAAGCACCAGTGTGTGTTAGCTAGAGTTCAGAAAGTGCTTTGCTTTAAAGATGGAAACCTCCAAATCATAAGCCCTACTGTGATACCAATTGCACAGAATGGGACATAGAGAGTACATCTAGCCAAGACCACGGGAAACCTCACTCCTGGGCATGCTGAAATCTTGAAGAAAGTTGCTCAGCCCAATAACTCAACTTTTCTCCTTGACTCTGAATGCGGTTTTGAGAACCTTCTTCTTCAGTGTTGTGGCAAACTGAGGCCAAAATGAATTTTCCAAGTGATTGGTTTCAAATACAGTTCTCCACTAGTTCTTTCACTTTCAGTATAATCAAACCCATGATCCACTTTTAATCTAGTGTGCTATATATATATATATATATAAAACTAAAAATGCTGATTTCAGTTATCCTCCCGTTCCACAAAACGTCATTCCTCATGCTCATTTTGAGCTAGTTTTAAAAAATTTATTTAAAAAATATCACCTTGGTCCGACCCTCAAAGGTATTTAGCCACTTAATTCCCATTGGCTTCAGTGTTAGTTCAGCACCTAAATAACTTTAAGAATCTGGACTCCTCTTTATGACAGTTTCTTTTCAGCTGCAAATTCCTACACAGTTAACATACAGAGATAAAATTCAAAGAATTTCCTTGTCTCACACACACATGCTATGCTACAAGCTTCTGGGCAGCTAATAACTGCCTTTATTTAAAAAGCCTAAAATCCTCAGGTAGATGAGGGATTGCTTAGGATAATATAAACAAAAGCCTTATTTACAATCCTATACAGAACAGGTGTTGACAACTGTTGTTAACAATGATGAGCAATGATCTAGCACGGAACATGTTTCAGCTGTAAATGTAAAGGACGACAAACTTGGGGTATGTCTACACTGCACAGGTATCCCAAAATAGCTACCCCGCATCTACACAAGCTGCCCGGTATTTCAAATATTTTTCAAAATAACAGGCACGCTATTTCAGCATCCCGGTAAACCTTGTTGCACGAGGGATAAGGGATGGCTCAAAATAGTGCATTATTTCAAAATTTGGTGCTGTGTCAATGCGCCAAATTTCAAAATAAGGTATTTTG